TGGATTGTCACTTGAACTAATTTGATGCACATCAATGTCACAATTTTCCTGAAGATCATGTATGTAGAATAATTGTGGTGAAATGTTCTTCGTTCTATTCCTTTTATAAATCCTCCCTTTAATAGTGCTATGCATGAAACATTGTCTCCATATAATATTGTGGGTCTTTTATCACATTCCAACCCACATGTTTCTCGAATGAATCACTGATCTCAATCATATGCACTCCCTGTTTGCCGGTTTGAAATCGAGCTTTATGGGTATCGGATAAATGACCTGCATCTGCATTACCAATACGATCTGCACCACTTTTGTTAACATTAGCAAGATAAATAAGTGCACCATCTATACCGAGATAGAGTATTTCAGGACCAATGAGCTCCTCATCCTCTTCTAGAGGTTGGAACGGATCCTTATTCACTTCAAGTGATTGAATATTCATTGGTGTACTTAATGGGTACACTTTGTCTATGTAAAAGTATTTTTAAGACCCTCTTGGAGCTCTTCCAGAATTCCAATAAGATTTATGTCACCAACATAAACAGCAAGTGTAATAAATTTTGATGACATTTTCTTTATAAAAATACATGGACAAATAACATAATTTATGTAACTTTCTTTCAGCAAATATTTACTGAGGCGATTATACCACACACGCACAGATTGCTTTAAACCGTACAAAGATCTTTATAATTTGATCGAGTACATTTCTCAAGACTTTGAATTATATGCTTCGGGCATTTTCAATCCTTCAAGGATCTTCATATAGATTTAGCCAAATAAGTCATATAGGTTAAGACTTGTATCTAAATGGTATGACATCTTCAAGTGTCTGGACTGCTAGTCCGATCCTCACAATCTTTTACAATATTGTGCACTATATTGTATTAAATATATCGTCGACGATCATTTTGTGTCAGTTCCGAAGCGACATAACTTGTGGAGATCTCATCACTTTCTTTATTTTCAGGTACCTGAACTTTTTCGGGAGTTTCATGAAATGTTATGTCGTGGGCTCTTTTAGAGCTTATTTCCTCCTCATTATGATCATTTTGATCATTAGCTCCTACTATTTTTCAAGGATTGTTACCTTTGGAACCGATTGGTCTACCACGCTTCATGCGTACAGTAAACTCTATCCTTCAGGGACTTTAATTTTAATAGGAGCATTTGCAGCTGAAATATGATATTTAATTTTGGATCAGCAAATGCTTCTGGCATTCGACTTGAATTATCTTCTAAGTGAGGATCATGATAATTCGATTCATATAGCATATTTTTCAACTGTTTATTCCATCCCCCAAATGTTAGAAAAACTAACATATATCCCCAATCATCTTTGGGAAACATATCTTTGTGTATTATGGTAGAGAAATTAATCATATACCACACAACAAAAGATAGTAAAAATATTTGGTTTCTAAACCTAAACTAATTGTGAAGGGATGACTTATCATATATTGTTGATCTGATGCATACAAGTGCTGCTATATGTAATTTAGAAAATCTTAGACCAACACATGAAGCTTTGTTCTCATAAGCAATGGTTTAGCCATTAATAGGAGGTATTCAATGCTAAAC